TCCATTGACTTTTCGGCAATATGAAGAATATTGCCCAAAATTTTCAAATTTTACTTTAGATTTGACGCTTGAAAATGACCAAAGAATTTTCACGAGTTGGGCATTAATGGGTTAAGGGATAATATTGGACAATTTTAGATAAACAAATGTCCGTATGTAAGTCTGGTATAGATATCTTTGAGAAGCAGTTGTTTTATATTAAAATCGTGTTGCATTTAAAAATTACGAGTTACGTGTGTAATAAAACTATGTTTTCCAAACTATCAGGGATTCTTGAAGAAGCGGAATCCCATTATTGCTGAATTTTAAACATATTAAGTCTAAAAACTTGAACACATTAAATTCAGTAAAATTATATTATAATATGTGTATGTATGTTTACTATATCGCGGATATCCTAGAGACTTTGCGCACCTGCTCCTTTTTCAAGTCGAACGGCTAATCACGCGAACATAGCCTAATCACCTCCCTGACGATTCGTCTAACAAAGTTAGCATTGCCTCCATACGATGACTCAACATATATTATTTAGTAAAAATGGATCGATGAACACTGAATATAATGATGGTTCAGAATAAGCAATTTTGTCGGATAGAATTTATTATAAATTAAAAAAAAACATTTTATTCTCTCCGGTTTTTTCGTTCTCTAAAAATAAAAAATTTATTTTGATTCGCATTTTAAGCAGATGTTATTACATAGAGAAATATTCATTTATCTTATAAAATATACAAAAATTTATGAATACATTTTTTGCATTAGAAGTTTAATTTCAGTTTTTTTAATTCTTGCAAAAAATTAAAATGTTGTCCTCATGTGGCACTGACCAGTTTTTTTTGCTGTCAGTACCTAAAAACGAAAAATAAAAAAAAAATTTATTTTTCTTATGCTTGTTAAACTGGAAAGTAATATTTTGTCGTGGAAAATTTAATAAACTACTTTTAACAGAATAATTAAAAATTTTTAATGTGTAAAGCATAAATATAGAGCAGTGATTATACGGTGCTGGAATATCAGAGTAAAATTAAAAAAAAATTTCAGTCAGTATTTTAAATATTTCATATAGTAAATGCGTCCAGAAATTTTGAACGAGTTTTCCTCGAAACTACATTTTTCAAAACTGCGTACACTGTTACTCACTTAATTCTTGTTGGGTTCATTTGAAATTTTAACTGAAACTTCTTAGATAAATTATGTAGGGAAGTACACACGCCTTTTAATATTCATAAATAATAATTAATATTGTTATTAACAATTTAAAGACGATTTTCAGTAAAAAAAATGTTAAAACTGATGCCAATTTGCGAATTTTTCATAAAAATATATAATCGTGGGTACTTCCATAGCAGAAGTAATGTGGATTAAAGGCACATTTTCTTTCTTGTTCTAGGTACTGTTCGGAGAATGTTATAAATGTACACAGCTGCGCTTTCCAAAAAAACGCATTTTCCATTTAACTTTATCCAAGATGCCACTTTGTATCAAATGTTATAATTAAAATTCTTTTTCTATATACCTTAAAACATGTATGATAAAATTTTGAGGCTTCAAATTATCGATAAAGTCGCAAAGGTCAGAAAAATAACAAATATACCAATCAAATGCTGATAACACCGTCCTACAAAATTTAACTTTTCTTTCCATACGCACAAAAATCAAGCAATTTCGGAAACTAGGACCAAAAAAAAAACCCGTGTCTGGCCGTTTTGCTGGATCAAGTCGTTTGTGGTTTCTAGGGGTGAAAACAACCCTTGCATGAAAAGTGACAAGTTATATTTTAAAAATAGATTCAATTTGCCTAAAACTTGTTACTCGGGGGTTTTTGGGGTCGCTGATCACGAGTACGATGTCAGTTTTTCAAAATTCAATATGGCGGATCCAATATGGCGGCTGTCAAAATAAAAAATTGATCGGATTCGCTTGAAACTTGTTACTCGGGGGTTTTTGGGGTCGCTGATCACGAATCCGATGTCATTTTTTTAAAATTGAAAATGATGGATCCAATATGGCTGTCAAAATTTTTAAAAATAGATTCAATTTGATTCAATTTTCCTGAAACTTGTTACTCGGGGGGTTTTTGGGATCGCTGATTACGAATCTTAAGTAAGATTTTCAAAATGTAAGATCAAAATGCAGATTACAGGTCTAGAATGAAACTGGAAGATTTAATTGTGTGATTCTTTTTTGTTTTTTGCCATTTTGAATTTTTAAAATCTGACTTAAGATACGTAATCAACGACCCCAAAAATCTACTGAGTAACGAGTTTCAGGGAAATTGAATCTATTTTTAAAAAAGTTGTCAGTCATATTGAATCCGCCATTTTGAATTTTGAAAAACTGACATGAGATTCGTAATCAGCGACCTCAAAAACCCCTAAGCAACGAGTCTTAGGCAAAGTGAATCTATTTTTAAAATATAACTTGTCACTTTTCATTTTAGGGTTGTTTTCACACCTAGAAGCCACAAACGACTTGATCCAGCAAAACGGCCAGACACGGGTATTTTTTTGGTCCTAGTTTCCGAAAATGTTTGATTTTTTTGTGTGTGAAAAATCGTGTCGGACGGTGTAATATTTCACATAGAGTATTATAACCTGTCGAATGGTATATTTGTTAATTTTCTGACATTTGTTTTTACAGAAGAATCGTGATTTAAAGATCACTAGTTTTCAAAATTAAAAAAAATTTCGGACCTGCGGCATTTCACTGCCATTTCTTATGTAAAATTCGCTCTTGAATCCAAATATGAATTCTGATATTAAGAAAGTAGAACAGTTTTCGAGATATAGCTCAATTTTTTGAGTTTCGACAAATAGTGGATTCACTAATTTATTATTATTTCCGAACATATTTAATCGATTTAAATTTTCTTTAAAGAAAACGAAAGGTAATTAAATTTGTCATAAAAAAGTACTTATAATATTTTTTAATTGGACTGATGGTTTAGCAGCTATTTATGAATTTGTTTGGAATTTCTCATTATTTTTAACAAAATTTTAGAAAATGATTGACTTTTTCTTTTATGAATATTATCAGTTTCTTGAATAAAAAACGAACAAAAATTACACATCATTGTCTCGTCCCAGTATCCTTGGTAGCGACGTTCCATGTTTATTTGCTGGTGAAAACGTTCACCATGTTTGCTTCTAGTAAATTATACCGATTTTCTTATAGTTTGTTAGCAAGTCATCGATACCAATTGTTTTCGTAATCTGGACTTTTAAAATTTCAAAAAAAGCCAAATACGGTCAAGCAAAATGAATCCCATTCTTTTTCCTCATCTTCTTACAAAATTAGACGTCTTTCATTAGTTTTTTAATTTGTTGACCCGCAAATACGCCTTCTTTTATTTATTATGATTGGCCGCATTTGGCTTTTTTGAAAATTTTAAAAGTTTAAATTTCGAAAACATTATCGATGACTTGCTTAAAAACAATAAGAAAATTGGTATAATTTACTAATATTCTTTTAAAGATGACTGTATAAAAATTATTTTATTCGAAAAAGTCGAGCAAATACATTCCAATTTTAAAATATCTCTTAAACCTTCAGTCCAAGTAAAAAATGTTGTAAATACTTTTTATGGGAAATTTAATTACCTTTAATTTGCTTCAAAGGAAATTTAAATCGATTCACTGTTTTCGGAAATAATGCTAAATTAGTGAATCCACTTTTTGTCGAATCTCAAGAAATTGAAATTTATTGCTATTGTACCTTTCGATGGTTCCCTGCTCAACACATTTCTAAAAAAGACAATTAGTTTAAACATAACTGATTTTCGATTATGAGGTTTCAAGGCTAAAAAATCTCTAAAAAGTAAGGAAATTTTAAGTTAAAAAATTATAAATATAATTAAAATGAATGATTTAATGATTTTTTTTGCTTATTTGTTAATTCGAATTTCTTCGAAGCAATTATTTCGTGTAATTAATTTTTATTTTTGAGACCGAAAATTAATTTTATGATTTAGAATAATTTACTATATATTTAAAAGTTTGTGTTAAAACTAAATTTCTGTTGATTCCTTCGTTTATGTTGTAATGCCGCTTATTTTACAATGTGATGAGGGATTCTCTCTAAACGTGTGTAATGGTGTATTTATTTCTAAGGTGTGTGACGTAGGGTTAAAAATTTATGGATTTTGATGAAACTTGGTAGCTAGGGGTTTTCGAGGTCGTTGATTACGAATCTGATGTCAGATTTTTAAAACTCAAATTTTAGAACCAACATGTAGTACTAAATTATTTAGAAATTTATGAATTTTTATGAATCTTAGAAGGGGGATTCCACGGGTAGTGAATTAGCCAAAATTTTAAGTTCCTATCTCATAAAAATCACTCACAATCTTCAATTTCATGAAAAGTGCCATTTTTGAAAACTAAGATTAAAAAATCCATTTTTGCTTGAAAAAATGTCAATTTTGGTCTAAAAAATCGGAAAAGTACTAGTCGATGGGAAATTTTCCAAAGAATTCAATGCCGTTAGAATTTTTGAGATATTTTTAAATGCATGCGCAGTAGATTAAAAAAAACTACTTTTTTTAAAAAAATTTATAACTCAAAAACATCTTGTTCGATTTGGCTCAAATTTTCAGGAAAAGTAGTTAAAAAGCCATACTTTAAAATAATTATTTCGGAAATCTAAGTATTTTGAGTTGTTAGCCATATTTTTGCAAAATAGTAAGATAATTCGATTTTTTCTATGTTTCCTTACGGTTTTTGCCTTTTTGTGCCTATACGCAGCTATATACTCTCTAAATCTGAATTAGTAAGATTCTACTAATTCTTAGTAAAATATTAGGATAATGTCACATTGAGTGGACCTCCACTTTGAGTAGACCACCTGAGTTTTTAAGTTATCTGACAGTGGAAACGTGAAATAAATAAAACGAATAGCAGCACCGCACCTAGAAGCCGTAAGAATTTATGTTCTGCGATAATCATATACGTTATCGCTTCATGTAACGCATTTTTAAGAACACAAACCAAAAAAGAAGTCGCTCTTGCAATGAGTAAAGTGATTTGGAAGTGTAAAAGTAGTGTAAAATTTAAGTTTTAAAAGGTAACTTATTTTTTTCCAACTACTTTGGACATTGAAATTGATTGTCTTAGTTTAATAAGGTGATAATTATGACTCAAAAAAAAATTTTGGTGTCTGCCATAAAAAGTTGCATGTCACCATGAGTGGACCACAGTTTATAACCATGAGTGGACTGCCTGTTTTTTATATTTTTAATGTTAGTTTAACATTTTTATGGAAATAAATTGACAATAAATTAGTTTAAAACTGTTTTATGTTCTTTATTAATTTTTTTGTGATTTTGATGTGATATGTGCCAAAATTATTGAAAATGGTTTCACTTGTAAACATTGCGACACAAACATGGTCTGAAGCTGCATAAGCATAAATTTTGTTTTAATATATCAGAAATATTAAATACATTAAAGAATTTAGAATAACTTTTACAATTTTTTAAGAGTGGTCCAGTCAAGGTTACACTTTTTTTATTCTTTAAAAATAAGCTATTTTTTTAAAGTCAATTGTTTTTCCCAAATAAAAAAAATCAAAGCTATTATGGTATAAACACTTATCTAGGGATCTAAACTAAAGCTTGGAATAGAAACCTCCGATTAATTTGCTGTCATAAAGAATTTTTTAGTAAAAAAGCTTAGGCGGTCCACTCAAGGTGACATTACCCTACTAATTGAAATGGGGAAAAGTCGTCCACCTAGAATTAGTAGAAAACTACTAATTCAAATAGTCATTACGTCATTACTAATTGAATTATTAAAAGGATAAATGCAAAAGGTGCAGGTTTGCGCATGCGCATATTTAGACGCAATTAGTTCTTACTAAATGAATTAGTAAAATGTTTATTCTTAAAAATGTTAAACAATATTTAGAATTAAATATTTTTTTAAAGACACATTATTAATTTACACAAAGAAAATAAAGAATAAATAGATAAAATTAAATATTAAACGAAAATTTAGTTCATTTTAAAATAGATTAAAAAATTATGACAATTATACACAGACAACACTATCAAAATTGTATTATTAGCACTTCCAGAGTTTTTCAAGAAATATAAATTTCTCTAAATATCACCAAAATCTAAACGATCTTAGCAGATTTATCAAAAGAATTCTTTTCTAGCACTTAACACTTACAAAAAGTATTCAAAATTATACGAGTCACTTGATATACTGTGTACACCACATTTAGTATTTACCCAAAGTGAACACGGGGAGCGCTATCTTCTGCGTCACATAGCCACTTTACTAATTGAATTAGTAAAAACTACTTATTCAAATAGTGAAAATTCTTACTAATTTGAATTAGTTATAGGCATTGCATAGGAATTCTACTAATTCATTAGTAAAATTTAATAATTCTACTAATTCATTAGTAAAATATTAACCTACTAATTGAAAAGGTAAAATTTCTACTAATTCAGATTTAGAGAGTAGCTGAAAAATCTGAGCTCAAATTCACAATCCTTGGAAAATTTTCAATCAATTATCTATATTGAAACTTATTTTTACTTATTTTAGAAAAATTTTAATAGCAAAAACAAATACAAGTTACAATTAAGAATATTAAAAATGTGCGTTTCTTGAAAAAAAGCAAGAAACCCCTGCAATTTGTTCCAATGCCAATAAAAATAAATACGTATTTTTTTATTTAAAAAAATATTGATATTAACAGGTGCCACCGAGCTCTTCAATTTTCCCATATAAAATGCATGGGGAAAATTTAAATTTTTGAAAAATCATAATTATTTGCGAGGGTTTCAAAAAAGTTAACATTAAGCTATTAGGATTTATAGAGGGCTCTCCGCTAAGTAATTTGACCTATATAACTTTAAATTTTTACCACCCCTACCTTCTAAATTACTGCCCCAATGTTACCCCTTTTTAAATATTTATAATTTAACATGTCTTTGTTGTATAATATCGATTTCTTAAAGTTTTTTGTCGGATCCTGTGTTTATATAAAATACGTATTTATTTTTATTGTCATTGGAACAAATTGCAGGTGTTTCTTGCTTTTTTCCACTAAAAAATTTTTTTGGGCCACCCTAATCGTTATGCGCACCTTTTTAATACTCTTAATTATAACTTGTATTTGTTCTTTCTGTTAAAATTTGTCTAAAATAAATAAAAATAAGTTTAAATAGAGACGATTGATTGGAAATTTTCCACGGATTGTGAATTTGGGCTCAGATTTTTTCTAGGGTAAGTCCGGGGGAGATGGTCATAGTTTTTTTAAAGTTCTGTAAAAATTATGAAAAAGCGATTTATGTCTAAACTTTTATTGATAATTAAACATTGAACACTTAACTGGAAAGTAACGAAAAATAAAATGAAATATTTTCATAAGAACAATCTCAAAATTAACATTTGTGAGATGGTCACATGTGTGCGGGAGAGATGGCCAATGCTTATAAAGTTTTACTTTTAGCTTATACTTAATTTTTAATCGTTCAAATTACTTTTCTCTTATTTTGGTCACATTTTGAATATTTATCATGGGATTCAGTGCAGTTTTTATGCAGCCAAAAATTGGAAATACAAGCTTTAATCAATGTCGTTTGATTGTAATTTTCGACTACACCTACAAATATATCTCCATCTCTGATGTTAATTAGATCAATTATTTGTTCTCGGACATTTTTAATTTGTTTTCCTTTAATACTTCTTAAGTATCTAACATAAGCATAAAAAATTTCAAATGAAAGTCATTAATGGCCATCTCACCCAATAATACATGACAAAAGTAAATATCAAAATATTAAATAAATAAAATAATTTTTCCATTCATTTTTTGTGTCTATCGAAGCGCAGGTTATGCACTAGTCAATAAAGCTTAAAATTAAAAAATCCGTTAAAAAATAATAATATAGCAATAAGAAATCTGAAATTCTCAAATTATTTTGGACCCATGCAAAAAATATGTAGAAGGATTACGCTTACATTTTAATTATTTTTCAACAATTTGTTGTTTACATTTATTATTAGTCACAAAAGGTTGATGAATAACTCATAATAAGTGATGTTTATTAACAAATTCTGTAAAATATTTCAACTGGCCATCTCCCCCGGACTTACCCTATATAGCTGCGCACAGTTGTCTTCAAGCACTTTTAGGTTTACCTAAAATGAGTCAAAATTGTGCTAACGCAGTTTTATCATGAATCGGTCCAAGATTCCAAATTTTCATTTCCGAAAATCGTAGCTGATTTTTTTTTCGAAAAAAACCAAAAAACATATACATATATATATATGGGCAATTCCACGTGAGATTTTAGTCGACCTCTTAAAATCGGCCTAAAATATTTTTTTCTATTCTGTATCGAAAAAAACAGATACGTATTTTTTTATTTTTGTTTAATTGTCCAAATTTTCGAGTTATGAATTTTCGAAATTTTGGACTTGTAATTTTAGACCTATATTTAGTAGCTTATAAGTCCGAAAATATTGAGTTTAGGAAAAAGTTGTTAAAGAATCAAAGTTTTAGTTTTCTTTCGAATTTTAAGAAATGTTAAACAAAAAATTTTTTTTTTATTTTTTATTAAAAAAACTTTTTTTTATAAACAAATTAATTTTTTTAAACTTTGGCCTGATTTTTTTTTAAATTATTTATTCCTTATAATATAGAGAAGGTTTTCTAAAAAAATCCCGAGGTGGGACTGATGTGTTGAATGAGTTTTAAAACATTTTTCTTCATACCTCGGTCGAAAGTACGTATTTCCCGCTGCGATTTCGCAGCAGAAAGTTAAACATTTGTGCTTTGGCTGATTTTCATACCCAACCTCTATTACAGCGGGAGTAAAAGAATTCTCTGTCGGTAAAAACACCACTGTCGGTAAATAAGAAAATTTCGAGTTCAATGACAATTTAACGAGTAATTGTTATCGCAATATAAAATGAGAAAAAAAATTATCAAGAAAACTTTTTATACTTTATAAATTTATTATCCACAAGCTCTGAATATTGAAATGAACGAAATCTTTTGCTGATATAATTATTTTCAAAAATTATTTTAATAAACATTAAAAACAAAAATAAAATAATTAATAATTTTGTAATTTTTTTTTTAATACGTACCAAAATGATATTATAAAATTGTAATAATTTGAAGAAATAATGAAAGTGTTTTCATTAGAATGTTTAGAATTTTAGAAACATAGAATTAATTTTGTACCACCAGAAAAATTCTTTTGAAAATATAATATTAATTTATCTTTCACATTTTTTTTCGTGCCTGCCCCCGACCAGAAGCACTCGCTTCGCTCGTGCATCAAATGTCGGGGCAGGCGAATATTGTTTGCAAGAGAGAGACAGAGAAAAAACCAGAGCTTCACGAGTATCCGCTAGAGGCGTTGAAGCGAGGAGCAAAAGTAAAAAAAGATGGCCGGCTGTCAAATGAAACTCGATTGCAATTTTCTTAAAAAATAAATTACCCAGCGTACTTTCGACCGCATATAAAGAAAAATAGTATACATTACACGGGCAGAAATTCGAAAGCCCTAAACTACGCGATAATGCCCTCGGCTTCGCCTCGGGCATCATTTCGCGCAGTGCAGGAATTTCGAACTTTCTGCCCTTATAATGTAATATACTATTCAAAAATCACTTGCAAGGTTCACAGTGGGATTTTTTACAATTAACTTCTAAAACTGTCTATATAACGTAGATCCTTTAATTTAAAAAAAGAACTCTCAAATAGATTAAAATTATACGCTGTGCGTATTTTAAAAAGTTAATTGTAAAAATATCCCACTGTGAACCTTGCAAGTGATTTTTGAAAATGTTTTAAACTAATTCAACACATCAGTCCCACCTTGGGATTTTTTGGAAAATCTTCTCTATAGAAAGAAAACTAAAACTTTGATTCTTTAACAACTTTTTCCTAAACTAAATATTTTCGGACTTATAAGCTACTAAATATAGGTATACAATTACAAGTCCAAAATTTCGAAAATTCATTACTCGAAAATTTGGACAATTAAACAAAAATAAAAAAATACGTATCTGTTTTTTTCGATACAGAATAGAAAAAAAAATATTTTTGCTAATTACGAATCCGATGTTCTTTTTTCAAAATTCAAAATGGCGTATCCAATATGGCGGACATCTTTTCTAAAAACTTATTCAATTTGCTTGAAAATTGTTACTCAGGGGTTTTTGGGGTCGCTGAATACGAATTTGAGGTCAAATTTTAAAAATTCAAAATGGCGGATCCAATATGGCGGACATATTTTCTAAAAACGGATTCAATTTGCTTGAAAATTGTTACTCGGGGATTTTCGGAGTCGTTAATTACGAATTAGATGTCAGATTTTAAAATTTTAAAATGGCGGATCCAATATGGCGGACATCTTTTCTAATAATTGATTCAATTTTCCTAAAAATTGTTAGTAGGGGGTTTTCAGGGCCGCTGTTTACTAATCCAATGTTAGAGTCTATGTTAGGCAATTGTTTTTCTATAGTCACGAATGTAAACGAACATTTAATTTTGACATCGTTTTCTCATTAGGCGTTTATCGCATTGTCACAAATGTAGATTCATATTTTATTCGGATCGCGTTCTCATGTTAAGCTTTTGTTTTCCGATTTTCACAAATATAGTCAAGCATTTTAGATTGATTTCGTCTTTGCGTTAGGCATTTGTTTTTCTGATTATTACGAATATAGAAATGAATATTTCATTAATCATTATGATGCCGGTTTTGCGTTAGGCAATTGTTTTTCACATTGTCACGAAGGTAGACGAACATTTTATTCTGATCTCGTTTTTATTTGGACATTTTATAAACTAAATTGAAACCGCTATTTTACATTTTAAAAAATTAAAATCAAAATCGTAATCAGCGACCCCGAAAACCCCCGAGTAACAATTTTCAGGCAAATTGAATCAATTTTTATAAAAGATGTCCGCCATATTGGATACGCCATTTTGAATTTTTTAAATCTGATATCAAATTCGCAATCAGCGACCCCAAAAACCTCCGAGTAACAATTTTTTAGGCAAATTACATCAGTTTTTAGAAATGACATCCGCCATTTGGATCCGACATTTTGAATTTTTAAAATCTGGCATTAAATTCGTAATCAACGACCCCGAAAACCCCCGAGTAACAATTTTTAGGCAAATTGCAACAGTTTTTAGAAATGTTGTCCGCCATATTGGATCCGCCATTTAAAATTTTTAAAATCTGGCATCAAATTCGTAATCAGCGACCTCGAAAACCCCCGAGTAACAATTTTCAGGCAAATTGAATCAGTTTTTAAAAATAATGTCCGCCATATTGGATCCGCCATTTTGAATTTTTAAAATCTGATATCAAATTCGTAATCAGCGACCCCGAAAACCACCGAGTAACAATTTTCGGTAGCTTTGTTTCCTTTTATTTTCGAATTTGTATTTTTGTTGCAAATTTTTTTTTTATTATTGTTGTAATTACAAAATTGTTAATTATTTTTTAAAATGTAAATTTTTTTCAAAAAGGTTTATAAATTTGTGGGTCGTGAGCGTTTAGAAATCAAAAATATCTTAATTTTTGTCAAAGTTATAGATTTTAGAAATCAAAAGTGGTTTCGATCGAAACCGCTGGGCGTTAAAGGGTTAAGAGGTCGACTAAAATCTCACGTGGAATTGCTCATATATAAGTTTTTTTGGTTTTTTTTAAAAAAAAGAATCAGCTACGATTTTCGGAAATAAAAATTTTGAATCTTGGACCGATTCTAGATAAAACTGCGTTAGCACAATTTTGACTAATTTTAGGTAAACCTAAAAGTGCTTGAAGACAACTGTGTGCGTATAAGCACAAAAAGGCAAAAACCGTAAGGAAACATAGAAAAAATCGAATTATCTCACTATTTTGCAAAAATATGGCTAAAAACTCAAAATACTAATATTTCCGAAATAATCATTTTAAAGTATGGCTTTTTAACTATTTTTCCTGAAAATTTGAGCCAAATCGAAAAAGGTGTTTTTGAGTTTTAAATTTTTTTTTAAAAAGTAGTTTTTTTAATCTACTGCGCATGCATTTTAAAATATCTCAAAAATTCCAACGGCATTGGATTCTTTGGAAAATTTCCCATCAAATAGTACTTTTCCGAAATGGCACTATTTATGAAATTGATGATTGTGAGTGATTTTTTTAAGATAGTCACTTAAAATTGTGGCTAATTCACTATTTTTGAAGGTAGAATACGCCTAAAAACTTTGAGACAAATCGGTAACTTGTCACGTACAACTGTGTGATTTACCCGTGGAATTCCCTAGTACCATTTGGAATTTTGAAATTCTTACTTCATATGTGACTGTCCACGAGAAAACAGGGCTTAGGTCCAAAAAGTAAATTTTGAGTTTTTTATGGTAATCGACAGATTTTATGTTGCTTTTTCAAATGCAAAAGTCAAAAGTTAAAAATATCAATTATTTTCGACAATATATCGTTTTAAAGCTGGGTATGTCAAGCGTAGTTAACTTCAATCGTCGACTGTCCACGACAAAACACGGCTTAGGTCCAAAAAATCAATTTGAGTTTTTTATGGTAATCGACAGATTTTATGTTGCTTTTTCAGATGCAAAAGTCAAAAATATCAACTACTTTCGACAATATATCGTTTTAAAGATGGGTATGTCAAGCGTAGTTAACTTCAATCGTAGTACTTCAATCGCTCGCCCTGTGAAATTCACGTTTGGGAGCTAAGCCCTGTTTTCTCGTGGACAGTCACATATTAGTAATCAGCGACCTCAAAAACCCTCAGATACCAAGATTATTAACATCCATTAATTTTTAAAATAATATAATTATCAATAAATAATCAAATGTTTTAATCTGTTATGCATTAATATTGACAATTTTTCAGTGCTCTATGTGTAATTGAAAATTGTATTCGGATTTTAAAAAAGGCTGTTAAATGAAAATATCAGTTAATTAAAAATTCTATTCAAAAGAAATTTCTTTAAACAAATTTTTTTAAAGAGTTAAATCTAAAACTTTAAAAATGAAACTTAAAAACACAATTGAAGTTAGAACAAATAGAAATTATTTGATATAAAATTATACTAAATTAAAAATTTTGTTGAACAAAAATTTTAATAATTAGATTAGAAAAAGAATTAGACTACAGTGAATTTTTTTTTGGATTCTACAGATTGCAGGAAAAATGTTTATTTCATCTAGTATTTTATTGTAAATGTTTTTTGCATTTTATAACTATAATATATTAATAATATTTATTGTACCTAATTTGGTTCTTTATTTTAGTTACTTAGCCAATGGTAATAGTCACCAAACATCCTCAATGTTTTTCCGCATCGGATTATCTACTTCCTACCAAATTATTGCTGAGGTATGTCCAATAATATGGGAATGTTTGTCGCCTATATATTTACCGAGAAAAGATGCCTTTGAGTGGGAACTTGTTGCTCGCGGATTTTAAGACAAATGGTATTTTCCCAACTGTTTAGGAGCAATAGACGGAAAAGAAATCCGAATAAAGAAGCCGCCACATTCAGGCAGCATATTTTTTAATTATAAAAAGTTTTTTAGCTTTAAGCTTTTAGCAATCTGCGATGCCTATTATAGGTTTACATGGATCGATGTTGGTGACTATGGTAATTACAATCCAAACCAAAACATCTTCGATGCAAAAAGCTCCATCAAGAAAATTTTTTTGTAATTGTCAAAACAATTAGTGAAATAAAAGTTTACCAACTAAAATTGAGTCAATATTTTACATTACATTTTGAATTGTAACAAATATGATATTTAATTTTTTAATTAACGTAAACAAAAAATTAAATCTAATTATTCTTCTTAATAAAAAATTTTTATTTAAGACAATTTTAAAATTGATAATTTTTCTAACTTATAATTGATGAAAGATTCTAATATGTTCCTACACATAGGGTGGTAATTACGTCAAAAAGTTATATCGCTTTCTAATTTTTTTTTGTTCGAATTTTATTAATATAAAATTTAAAAAAATGTCGAAAAGAAAACAAAACCAAAAAAGTAGTGAATTTTTAATATATATAAGAAAGACACAATAAATTTACTTAAGAAACAGAATTTAAAAGTACCGAAATACTCTAATTACCAAGAAATTTTGGAAGATTATGAGCACGATAATGAGAAGTTAATAAAAAGCTTTGCGTTAAGAGTGTGCTACGGATCAGACGATGTGCTCAGAGAATGCTGTGAAATACTGTCAGTGTTATTCACTCGTATAATAGAAAAATCAATTTCCTTTTCTTTCGAAAGTAATCAAGATTTGTATAATCTTTTTTGGGAATCTGGATTAGGTAACAATATGCGATGCACTGGTCAGTTTTTGTGTATTCATGCACTAAACGTGACTAGTATGGGAATATTATTAAATTATGGATATGATACATACGGTATCAAATCCCTCGATAAAGAATCATTAAAGTTTATCTTAAATCCATTGATTACTGTACCTTACACATATGCATGCACTGAAAAAGCCAAAATTCACCGGTCAGAAAGTGGTATGTTTTATCAGCATCGCTCGAAAGATATACTAGAAAATCCAGTTATGTTAAAACTTTTGCTTCGGGCATGTTATAAACATAAAGATGCTATTATCGATTATGTTGAAAAAAATATCTCATTTCCAAAAGTTTTGCTTGAAGAATTATGTTTCGAGATAAGTTAAAACTCTACCAAGCGGCAGAGCAGCCATCACAACATGCGAAAAGCAAATTGTTTTCTTTTTGAGGAGTAATTTAAGTGTATTAAAGGGAATTTTTGATATTTGCAAAGAAGGTTTTGAATTGGAGATTGAAAACAGAATTTTTCTAAAATGTTCCGAAATAATCGTTGAGAATATAAATGTACAAGATTATATTAACTACATTGATAACATGGAATCAGAACATTTCGGCACTTATTCAATGAAATACGATTCAACATTTATTACACCATACCGAACGGGTTCAGTGCATCCTCTTTTTGGCTTACAATTTCCGAGAAACGTTACACAACAAGTGAAAAAACACAAAAAACCTACAATAACAAAAATTGAGATTATTAAGCGTAAACGGATAAAGGTAACAGAAGATGACACAAACGACCAAAACGAAACTGATTCAACAGATGAAGAAAAACACAAAAGAAAACCTACAATAACAAAAATTGAGATTATTAAGCGTAAACGTATAAAGGTAGCAGAAGATGACACAAACGACCAAAACGAAACTGATTCAACAGATGAAGAAGAAATGGATAATTCAACATCTGAAGTAAATGATTCAATATTAAGTGTAAATGATAATGATGTGAAGAGTGCAGACGAAAGTGAAAAAAATGTAACAAATAAAGGTACAACCGATGAGACATCTTTAAATCCAGTGATTTCGGAACTTATTGAAGAGAACATAAAAAGAGTACACAAATTAAATATAATAGATGGATTATATCACAACGCTTTATCCGAAATGTTAAATATTAATGAGGATACTGAAATGATTTTTATTCCTGAAATTCCAAACGAAAGAGAACAGAAAACATTACCCAATTTCTCTAATTTGTACACTTTTTATTTCCATTTCGATGCAAATTCTGAAGAGGAAAATGATATTAATGAGGAAACTATTTCTGAACAAGATTTCAGTCAAGGAAAAAGTGAAGAAGAAAAAGGAACTGGCGAGCTATCAAAATCTACTACCGTGACTGAAAAAGAAGAATCGTCCGAAAAATCGGCCTCTAATGATAATACTTCTTCAACAACTCATGCTTTACTTCTTCCTAGTGAAGGAAAAGTTGAAGAAGAAAAAGGAACTGGCGAGCTAACAGAAGAAAAAATGCACAAACATGATATATCTTTTACAAATAATCGGTATCTAATTCATTTATTAATAAAAAAAAATTCAGAATATTTAAAATAACTATTTACAAGGTAAATATAGGGATGTAATTTCAGATGAAAATCAATTGTCTTCAAAGAAAGATATTAAATCGGGAAAAATTATAGGCGAATTATTATCATGTGAAAAAAATAAGGCAAAAAGTGTTCTCAATTTTGAATTTAAGGGTGAAAAATGTTCCATTTTTCAAAAACATCACATAATTAAACGTGTACAATCCAATTTTAAATTCGTTTTTATAATTATTAAAAATCAATTAACAATTCTGTTAATTGCTACACAAGATATTAAAAATGAAGAAAATTTATATTTTCCTGCATAAATCATTTTGTAAAAAAATCTCAAAAAAATTATTTGTTTTGTAACATATATCATAGACATTTTCATGTAAAAAAATTGTAATATTTTATTTTAATATAAAATTTATATAATAAAAAATAATATTTTTTTAATTGATGAAAATATTAAAGCCAAGATTTTAAAACTTTCTTAAATATAAATTTTTTATTAAGATAAATAATATTATATAAATAACTAGCTGTCGTACTCGTCTTCGACGGGTTTTAGTTTCTGTTTGGTTTCTCAAAATTTAAATTGCTTTATGCCTTTTTGTATGATACATATATATTACAATAGTTACACACTTTCTACAAATTCCAAGAGAAAAAGGAAACATCTGCAAATCATAAAATTGTAATGATTTAAAAACTATATTACCTATTTACAAAAGTTTTGAAAAACATGTTATCTTAGGATTTTATACCTTCTTTACTTAAGCTGCTAAAACCCATTAAAGGCACGTAAACTTAAGATAAAAATCAACCTAATAAAAAGATTAACCACTCGAGACCCAGGTAATAACTGCAGGGTTTTGCATCCGCAAATGAAACTCGCCATTTTTACCTTCGTGGGTTTTTCCAAAATTTTCGGGTTGTTTTGGTACACATCGGAACTCTTGTAATTCCGATCTAGGTATATACCTCAACTTGCCTTCAGCAAAATATGAAAGACACTTACATTACTTTTCGACAATTGACTTGTACGGTTCAAGCACAAGTCTTCACAAAATGTATCACATAAACCTTTTGGTTAACTTTTATGTATAAATTACAGTATGCATTTTATTTAATAAATACAGTTGTTCAGTAATTTAAATTACTTTCAAGTCTTTTATTGAATTACAACCTTAATTCAATTTTAAAAACAACTACACACAACATTTTGGTCCTTCGAGCCGGATTTCTTACAGTGAAAAGTGAACTTGTGAATAATTGTTCCGGAAACTGCAAGATATTTCGTTGAAAATTATATCAATAATATTTCAAATGAAGTTATGCATATATATGTATATAAATTCACTAGTGATTTCAAAATTAGTGATCGAATAAGTGTTTGATGATTTCAAAATCTTGCACAAATACAAGTGAATACCAAGCTGTTTTAGTAATTCCAAAACTAAAATTCTGCAAATTAAAATAGACTTTCATATGAACACATGTGCCTTGTGAAATTGCAAGTATTTGAACATCAAAATTATAATGTTCAAATTGAGTACATATGAACTGTGACTTTTAAATAACTAATCAGTTATTCAGTAACAAAATTAAAGAAGTTTTTAATACCTTTAAACAATTAAAAATTTTTAGTGAACTTTTAATGACAATTAGTGAGTGGAACCCTGAACGTTTTTACGGTTTCTATAGAGACATTTAAAAAAGATAATTTCATAAGAATTACAATTTCTTGAAAATGGATTAACAAATTTTCATCGAAGAAACCAGCAGGATTCCAAGAGGAGGTGAACATCACTACATCAGGTCAAAGGAAAGGTGAATCTTCAAATCCATTCCAATTGAAGAAATATTTCATTATCATCAATCGGCTGACTTCGAAGTAGTAAGTTTAGTGGTTTACCAATAGTCCTAATCCTTTTTTACATTTTCATATGTTATCTCTATATGTCAAGTGTTAATGTTCTGAATTAAGAGTGAGATATAAATTTTCAATTATGGCGTTGACTCTTGAACAATTAAAAATTAAACGCGGTAGTATAAAAGCATCGGTGACGAAATTTGAAACTGCGTTGAGAAAAATAAACGATGATACTGATTTATTTTCATTAGATTTAGAAGGTCGCTTGAGCAGACATAACTCCTTATGGGAAGAATTTGATAATATTCAAAAACAAATAGAAGAGTTATTACCTGGTGAGGAAAACAAGCAAATTCATGAAACAGAACATTTAACTTTTGAAGATCGGTTTTATGAAATTAGCGGGTTAGCAAAAAAATTCCTTCAAAGACTTGAATTATCGACAAGGTCTGTACAATCTTCCTCGCGTACAAATTCAGTTCAAAATTTAGAATCCCATGAAATACCAACTCAAAGACGGACGCACTTCCCTTCTCATTTCCAACTGCCAAAAATTGAGACACCTGTTTTTCATGGTACATTTGACACATGGCTTGCATTTTATGATTCTTTTAAGTCGATGTGCCATGATAATCAGGATATTCCAAATATCAGTAAATTTATGTATTTAAGAGCATGTTTGAGAGATGAAGCAACCGAAGTCATTGCGTCGCTAGAAACAACTGCTGATAATTATTTGATTGCTTGGGAACTTTTAAAGAATCGTTATGATAATCGCAAGTTTATTGTAGAAAATCATATCAAAACTTTATTTGAACTTCCCGCACTTTCAAAGGAATTTACAGCACGCACATTGCTTGATAATTTACAAAAACATCTTAGAGCATTAAAGGCATTAAATCAACCTGTTGAACAATGGGACAGTTTAATTGTTTATTTAATTAAACTAAAGTTTAATAATTATATACGCGAAAGATGGGATGAAGCCACGGGAACGACTCAACTTCCCACGGTTAAAGATTTAATTTCGTTTTTAGAAAAAAGATCAGTTATTGAGGCCAATCATTCCACATTCAAATCTGTTAATTCTTCGAAGACTAATTCCAAACACTCGTCTAACATTCGATCTAATTCAAAACCACCATCAACATGTTTATCAACTACAGTTTCAGGAAAACTGTAAAGTATCGTGTTCTCTTTGTTCACAAAAACATCCTTTGTATTCATGTGCTCAATTTCTAAACATGTCTACCCAAGAACGTTATGATTTTGTTAAAAAGGCTGCAATTTGTCATAATTGTTTTTTACAAAATCATCGCACAATCGACTGTCGAAAACAGCCGTGTCAAAAATGTAAAAAAGACATAATACACTTTTACACTTTGAACCCAAAATTCAAACAGAAACAAATTGCAACACCACAGAGTCATGTACAACAGCCTAAAAGTCCATCTCATGTAATTTTAGGAACAGCAGTAGTTGAAATTTTAGATAAAAATGGTCAATATCATAAATGTAGGGCTCTTCTCGATTGTTGCTCACAATGTAATTCAATTACTGATAAATTTGCTACAATTCTCGGACTGCGTAAAAAACCAGTCAATTTTCAACTCAATGGTGTAGAGAATTTACAAACAAAAATTAAATACTCTACATCAACCACGATTAAATCTTGTTTCAGCAACATCAAGCGTGAAATGTCATTTCTTGTTTTCTCAGAGATTTCTAGTCAAATGCCTTCCATATCAATTGAAAACAAATCATTCCAAATTCCAAGCCACGTTTGTCTTGCCGATCCAGAATTTCATATGCCAGCCGAAATAGATATTTTAATAGGAGCTGAATTTTATTATGAACTTTTAGGTTCCGGTCAAATTAAAGTGCCAGGACAAACGGCTATTTTGCAAGAAACTAAGTTAGGTTGGATTATCGCAGGTCGCTACACAAATCCAAATGTTAGTAACTCCAATCCTATTCAAACTTCATGTAATTTAATTAAATTCCAAGATTTACCAATTTTGTGGGAATTAGAACCAGACGATTCTTCAAAAATACGTTCGAAAGAAGAAGAAATGTGTGAAGCACATTATTCTCAGAACGTTTCGCGAGATGAAAAGGGGTATACAGTAAAACTTCCTTTTAATGGAAAAGAAAATGATCTGGGAAATTCTCGTAATTCAGCCCTATATAGATTCCAAGCATTAGAGAAAAAGTTTGCGAAAAAGCCAGAATTTAAAAAACAATACGTTGAATGTATTGAAAGTTATTTCGATGAAGGACATATGGAAGAAATTATTGACGATGAAAATAGTGAGGGGGGATATTATTTACCACATCACACGGTATTCAAAGAAAATAGCCTTTCTTCTAACACAAGAGTAGTTTTTGATGGTTCAACAGAAACGTCAACCGGACTCTCTTTAAATGACACTCTATTGGTTGGACCCGTTATACAGGATAATCTTGTATCTATTTTAACTAGATTTCGTTCATTTAAATATGTGCTTACAGCAGATATTCAGCAGATGTATAGACAAATTCGAATAAGTCCCGAAGATTCCCTGTTTCAAAAAATTCTGTGGCGTTCGGATCAATCCGAACCGATAAAAATATTTGCATTAAATAGAGTAACATTTGGTACAGCCTGTGCTCCATTTTTAGCAATTCGTACATTAGCTCAACTCGCTTCAGATGAAAGTGAATCATATCCTGAAGCGGCAAGGGTATTAAAAAATGATTTTTATGTCGACGATATGTTGTCAGGATCTCAAACATTTGAAGATGCTATGAAACTTAGAGATGAACTAATACAACTTCTTTCCAAGGGTGGGTTTAATTTACGCAAATGGGCGTCAAATGATCCCAATTTGATCAAAGATCTGTCCTCTGAATCTTCCGATTCCCTACAAACGTTAGATCATTCAGAAATAGTAAAAACGTTAGGATTACATTGGGATGCAAAGTCCGATTCTATTTTGTATACCACGAAGTTGTCAGAGTTAAAGGGACCCATAACACGACGTAGTATTTTAGCCGAAATCGCAAAATTATTCGATCCTCTCGGTTTAGTACAACCAGTTATTATAATTGGCAAAATTTTAATTCAAGAATTATGGAAAACAAAACTTGCATGGGATGATCCTGTTTCACCTGAAATTCAAAAGGCGTGGCTCCAATACACTAATGACCTCCCATTGTTAAATAAATTTTAATTTAACATATGTATTGTAATGACAGGTGCAACAGAATTTCAACTCCATAGATTTTGTGATGCCAGTGAAAAGGCATATGGAGCTTGTCTATATCTTCGATCATCCGATAATAAAGGCAATCATGAATCTGCTCTTATTTGCTCAAAATCACGTGTTGCTCCAATAAAAACTGAAACTCTTCCAAGCTTTCCCGACGAATTAATATCTTTAAAACGTAACGGGACAGTCGACTCGAAAAGTAGTCTCTTTAAATTGAATCCTTTCCTAGACCAGGATCTTATTAAGGTGGGGGGAAGACTCGAACACGCAAACATACCTGATACACAAAAACATCCTACCGTTTTACCAAAACATCACAACGTCACAAGAATAATCATTCGCGATGAGCATTTAAAACGACACCATGCTGGTGCTCAATCAACCTTATACGGGGTTCGCAAATTTTACTGGATTATTAATGGACGCAACACTACGAGACATATTATCAGACAATGTGTTAAATGTTTTCGAGCGAAACCTCCAGAGACAAGGTATTTGATGGGAAATTTATAAAAAGATCGTGTGTCTTTTAAGACACCTTTTACTCACGTAGGGGTGGATTACTGCGGACCTTTTTTTATAAAAGAACACCGTCATAGAAATAGAACTAAGGTAAAAACTTATGTTTCAGTATTTGTTTGTTTGGCCACAAAGGCTGTCCATTTAGAACTTGCAAGTGATTTAACAACAGATGCGTTTATTGCATGCTTAACGCGTTTCTTTTCTCGTCGCGGTGTTGCAAATTCAATTTCATCTGATAATGCTACCAATTTTGTTGGAGCGAATAATGAAATAAAAGATCTTTTTAATGTTCTTCGTGCTTATGAAGAAAGTAAAGAAGTTCAAAATTATTTGTCAAAAAAGGAAGTTATTTGGCATTTTATACCACCTCGAGCCCCACACTTCGGTGGTCTCTGGGAAGCTGCAGTAAAATCTTTTAAGGTTAACTTTGTACGCACTGCAGGCAACTCACTCTTAACGTATGAACAACTTCACACGTATGTAGTAGAGATTGAATCAATCCTGAATTCCCGTCCTCTTACTCCTTTATCATCAGATCCAAACGATTTTCTCCCTTTAACACCTGGTCATTTTTAATTGGTAGACCAATGACTAGCTTACCACAATCAGACTTGCGCAACGTTCCATAGGTTAAATTGTTGGCAGACCGCTCAACAAATGAAACCACATTTTTGGAACCGATGGTATAAGGAATACCTTAACGAACTAATTTCCAGGAGTAAATGGCGAGCTGTCACAGATCAAAGTACCATTAAACTTGGTACACTGGTGGTCATCAAGGAAGACAATATGCCCCCAATGGCATGGAAGTTGGCGCGTATAATCGCGACCCACCCAGGAAAGGATGGTGTTATTCGTACAGTTACTGTGCAAAGTCCAAATAGTGCTTACATACGACCATTAACATTTATCCCTTTTATTGAACGTAGGCAGTTCAAGGGGGCCGACATGTTTGGTTTATCAAAATTTAAACTAAAATTGCTTTATGCCTTTTTGTATGATACATATATATTACAATAGTTACACACTTTCTACAAATTCCAAGAGAAAAAGGAAACATCTGCAAATCATAAAATTGTAATGATTTAAAAACTATATTACCTATGTACAAAAGTTTTGAAAAACATGTTATCTTAGGATTTTATACCTTCTTTACTTAAGCTGCTAAAACCCATTAAAGGCACGTAAACTTAAGATAAAAATCAACCTAATAAAAAGATTAACCACTCGAGACCCAGGGAATAACTGCAGGGTTTTGCATCCGCAAATGAAACTCGCCATTTTTACCTTCGTGGGTTTTTCCAAAATTTTCGGGTTGTTTCGGTACACATCGGAACTCTTGTAATTCCGATCTAGGTATATACCTCAACTTGCCTTCAGCAAAATATGAAAGACACTTACATTACTTTTCGACAATTGACTTGTACGGTTCAAGCACAAGTCTTCACAAAATGTATCACATAAACCTTTTGGTTAACTTTTATGTATAAATTACAGTATGCATTTTATTTAATAAATACAGTTGTTCAGTAATTTAAATTACTTTCAAGTCTTTTATTGAATTACAACCTTAATTCAATTTTAAAAACAACTACACACAACAGTTTCTACCAATACATTTAACAATGTTTCTACCAATCTGGAAAATCAGAAAAAAGCCGAGAATTTAATTTGCCCGGAAAATTAATAATTAGTTACCAATAGCTATTTCGGTAGTATAATATTACTATTTGAATAGTCTCCACTTTTTAGCAAAAAATAAAAAATTAACAAAAATTCAAAAAACCGAATTTCTTAAAATTCAACATTTGTCCTTCTTTCTTATTGCATTTAGCTTCATTATTTTTGTGCTCTTCAATAATAATTTACTTATTAAAAATTCTCCACCCTTTGGTGAAAAATCTAAAATTATGTAAAATTAGCAAAAATTTAAAAAACTGAATTTCTTAAAATTCAACATTTTTTCTTCTTTTTTATGGCATCTAGCTTTATTATTTTTGTGCTCTTCAAAAATATTTTACGTATTTAGTAGTCTCTAACCTTTGGTAAAAAATATAAATTATGGAAAATTAGCAAAAATTCAAAAAACTGAATTTCTTCAAATTCAACATTTTTTCTTCTCTTTTATGGCATTTAGCTTCATTATTTTTGTGATCTTCAAAAATAATTCACTGATTTTAAAGTCTCCACCCTTTGGCAAAAAATATAAAATTATGGAAAATTAACAAAAATTCAAAAAACTGAATTTCTTAAAATTCAACATTTTTCCTTCTTTTTTATTGCATTTAGCTTTAATATTTTTGTGCTCTTCAAAAATAATTTACTTATTTAATAGTCTCCACCCTTTGGTAAAAAATCTAAAATTATGGAAAATTAACAAAAATTCAAAAAACCGAATTTCTTAAAATTCAACATTTGTCCTTCTTTCTTATTGCATTTAGCTTTATTATTTTTGTGCTCTTCAAAAATACTTTACTTATTTAATAGTCTCCAACCTTTGGTAAAAAATCTAAAATTATCGAAAATTAGCAAAAATTTAAAAAACTGAATTTCTTAAAATTCAACATTTTTTTTTCTTTTTTATTGCATCGAGCTTTATTATTTTTGTGCTCTTCAAAAATATTTTACGTATTTAGTAGTCTCCAACCTTTGGTAAAAAATATAAATTATGGAAAATTAGCAAAAATTCAAAAAACCGAATTTCTTAAAATTCAATATTTTTCCTTCTTTTTTATGGCATTTAGCTTTATTATTTTTGTGCTCTTCAAAAATATTTTACTTATTTAAAAGTCTCCATTCTTTGGCAAAAAATCTAAAATTATGGAAAATTATCATAAAATATCTATCTATATATATAAAATCAGACTTTTGTCTGTACATTGCTCAGAACTTTAAATTTCGCACATAATTATTCGTTTTAGGCATCAAGGATTCCAAATATACCAATAAAAAATTTCGTGTATGTATGTATGTATGTATGTAGTATGTATGTATGTGTGTCGGTATGTCAGAGAATCTTTGTTCGCGCATCACTTAAAAACGGCTGAACCATTTGAAACCAAATTTGGCAGAATGTTAGACCTTGGGCCAAGGAAGGTTTATAAATTTACAGATTTGAAAAATATTAATTAGAACGGGAGATAATCAATTTTTTCGAAAAATTCAAAAACCAAAATTTTCTAATTTTACATTTTTTTTAAAATGCTTTCAAACTTTCTATAATTAAGTATAACATGTTATTTAGTCACATTTTAGAATATTTTTGCCAAAAATAATGTCCTATAACTAAGATGTAAGTATAAAATTTTTTTTTAAAAATTCAAAAAATCGAAATTTTTAAAATTTTATATTTTTTTATGAATTGCTTTCAAACTCTCTATAATTGAGTATTACATGTTATTAAGTCAAATTTTAGCATAATTTTTCCAATAATACGGTCCTATAACTAAGATGTAAGTATAAAAACGATTTCGAAAAATTCAAAAAATCGCAAATTTCCAAATTTTATATTTTTTAATGGACTGCTTTTAAACTATGTATAATTAATCATTTCATGTTATTTAGTCACATTTTAGCATAATTTTTTAAAAAATAATATTTTATTACTAAGATTAAAGTATAAAAATGTTTTCAAAAAATTTTAAAAATCACAAATTTTACATGTTTTGATGATTTGCTTTTAAACTCTGTATAATTGAGTGTTACATGTAATTTAGTCATATTTTAGCATAATTTTGCACAAAAAATGATATGACTAAGATGTAAGTATAAAAATATTTTCCATATCAAAAAATCGAAAAAATTATAATTGTTATTAATTACTATCAAGTTTAATTCAGCAGTATTTTTGGGGTTAGGGGAGACTGGGGTAAACCCGCTCACAGGGTAAACCCGCTCACTAGCGATTTTACGCTATAAACTCAACTTAAGATGGAGATATTGGTACTGTGAATAGTACTTAACATTCAACTTATATTAACGAACTTTCGTTTAGTTTCATGAATTCAACATAGAATCAGAGGCGATCAAATGTTTTTAGAGGTATCAGAAAAAAAACGTTTTTTGGATTTTTAAGTTTTTCGATCATTATTTTTGAGTCTTAATTTATTTGGCGAATTTTTTTTGTTGCTATTGGATGTCCTTCTTCGAAGTACATATATAGTTTTGTCTTATTTTAAAAAGATTTAATTAAATTTATTCTAAAGTGTGAGGAATACACTCAGGGTAAAGTCGCTCACGTGAAGTCGGGGTAAAGCCGCTCATTTATTTTTAAATTTAAAATTTAGAATAAAATAATTTCACGTATTATATTTTAACAATAACTAAATTTATGACTTGTTAAAACCAAAATTGTAACTACATTTCACTTTCTCTTAATAAAATATAACACTATTTAAATCCATAGTTATAATTCATGAAATCTATGTTCATTATTTATT